ACGGTCTCTGGAAACTGGTGTTAGAAGCCAAGACCTGAGCCTTGGCTGTGAGCATTCTGCTGCAGTACCTCTGACCCTCAGCTGACGCYGAGGGGAACGTGCAGATGGGTTCACCCTTTGCACATCTCTAGACACGCCCGGCCCTCGGGATCTGTGCCAGGCGGACACTGATTCCTGCCGGTGTCTGCAAGCCTCACCGGCCGCACTGGCTCTTCCTGGCCCTCCTCTRCCCACCTCCTCCCCACTGAACAGGAGGTGCCTGTTCCCACCATCCACCAGCTGTCTGCTCAGTTGCTTAGTCTCCGTGGACGTGTGTAGTGGTATCAGAGGTGCTCCACACCCCAGGGCCACTTTGTCCACTAGCACGCAGCACCTGGTGCCAAGGCTGGTCACCCCTCGGTGGGCCAYGCCCTGCCCAGCTCCCTCAGTGAGGACAAGCCTGCACGGGCCACACTGTAGATCAATTTGTCCTACTCTGGCTTCCACCCAGAGGACCCCCTGCCTCCTGATGATGTCTAAATTGCCTGCAGTAAGGTGCACTCTGCACAGTCACATACAGGTCCCCACGGCACACGATGCTGTGTGGCCCGTCGCAGCACCACACGGACACTGCACCTGCCACTCCCCACCCTTCAACACCTGCCAACCACCAATCCCTCCACCATCACCATAGTGCCCTCTCCAGAGCGTCCCCACGCTGCGCGGCCTCACGCACTGACCGCTTGCTCTGTAGATCCATCAGGGGAGCGTGTGCACCTAGTGAGATGACCAGGCGCTGCTCCAGTATTTTCGTCTGTTATTGTGCCGAGCTACATTAATCGATTTTCAACTGATAAAACCCCGGGGTCATGATACGTTCTCCTTGAATGTTGGACACAATTTGCTAACATGTGCTTGAGAATTTCTGCCTCTGCTTTGGACCAAGTAGAGAGAGCAATGGAATGCTTACAACACAGGGGAAACCACCCACTGGAGGCCCACACCGTGGAATGGTCCTTCAGTGTGAAGGACGGACAAAACCAGAGGGAATCCACCACCAGGAGACGGGCCTCACAGGGAGCACCAGAGGGAGGCTTCTGGGGCAGAGACTGAGTCCATACAAGGACTAGGTGTTGAGAAGTAGGAAAATGAGACAAAATCCCTGCTGTTATTAATTGACCTAAAACGTAACTGTTCTTTAAAAGGAGCAACTGGAAGCCAGGGTACTACCATGGAGAGAGGCACTGGGGCTCTGCCAGGCCCCTAGCTGCCCAGGGACGGAGAGGGGTCAGGACAGGGCCAGGAGGTCGGGCAYTGTCCACAAAGCGGGTATCGCTGATGGAATGAGGAGTGTGTTAGTTGTCGATGTGCTTCCAAACCCCAGAAAAACTGTATAGTCTTTAAACAACAAGTGATTTGCAAAGAGAGGAAAACCGTCTATACCTGGGATGATATAAGTAGCTCATTAAAACCAGAGAAAGCAAGGAAACTCTCAGATTTTGAAACGCTCCTTTTTCATCTTTATCTAACTCTAAAGGCTCTCTGACCCCTTCCTTGACTTGTGGGTTATGTAGATATCTGGATTTTTGTTTCTAAATATTTGGATATTTTTCAAAAATCTTTGTGTTGTTAATCACAGCTTTGGACGAATCAAATACTTTAAGCTGAGTAACCATGATTCTGTGCCCAGAATGTGGCCTGCTGGGAAGCCGGCTGTGCTGGGGAGAACGCTGTCCCATTGTTGTGGTCTTTCTCTGAGGGCTGCTCTGGGTGCTGGTTCACAGTCTCCTGAGGGGAGACACCTGGAGAGGCCTCCTGCCGGTCACTGGAGCGTGTCGGAGAGCCCGGGCGGCCCGCTGCCTCGCCTGCTCCTGGTGGAGTCTGCTCCTCCTGCCCAGGTTGGCTGTGAGGCGCGTGCCTAGGTCCAGCCTCTCCCTGAGTCACCTCTGCTACCTGTGGCCACCCAGCCGACCTGGACAGTGCGGTCACACTGCCCCTGTGCTCCTTTCATCTCTGGGCCTCTTTGCTTCCTGTTCAGTCCCAGGACCCTGGCTGGGTGCTGGAGCCCTTGCCGGCCCTGAGGCTGTGGGGGTGCCTGGGTGCTACGCGGTCAGCTGGCTGGCGAGCTGTCCATCGCTCTTGCTGGCTGCGTGCTGTCTGTCCCTCTGGAACTCTTCCTTCCCTCTGCCTTCTGTCCCTCTGGTCTCCTCCGAGGCTTATTAGCGTGGCTCTCTTTCCCCGGTTTGTGGATACATTCATGGGCCTTCCTTCACAGGTGCTTGGCCGCAACAGCAGGACCCCCCGGGCCTTCAAGCCCTGTGGCCCATCGCAGCACCACGCACCCGGAGCTGCACCTGCTTCTGAGCTTTCTGATGAGCTGCGGACCTCGGGTGTGCCCGGCTCCCCACCCTGTGGTTTCCATTCTTTTGTGCTCCCCACTCCTGCCTGCAGGACTTCCTGCGGTGTGGTCTGAAAGGCCCAGGTGGGAGGCTGTCCTGGGGCACCTCAGAGGCCCCCTCTACCTCCCCCTAGCAAGGCGTCCAGTGAAACCCAGCTGCCCTTGCTCTGTGCCTCTGTGGCTTTCCTCCCTCTGGCTGTCAAGGTCTGGCTTTGCTGCTACTTTGGGGCAACTTGGGGTGTGCCCAGCGTGAGCTCTCTCCTGGGGTCTGCGGAGTCCCTCAGGGAGGCTGGGCGTGTTTTGTGTCTGCCTTGCAGGGGGCTGGCACCCTCGGGGTGCTGTGAGGGTGCTGCTCTACCTGCCCTGCTGGCCTCTGAGCGCTCACTTGTGAGGGCTCTGAGCTGGGAGGCCTGGCCTGTGGTTCCCGGGCCAGGCTGTCTTCAGGCCCTGTCTGTCTCTCCGAGTGGCTCCCTCTGCTCCTTCTCCACCTTCCTGAACATAAAAGAGTAGCTTTTGGGGGTGGTGCTGGGGATTCTGCATTGGAGGCAAGTCCTCTACCAACTGAGTGACACCCCCAGCCCTTCTGAAACGGTTTTGGGGGTCAATGGATCTTTTATTTATCTATTTTTACACGTGGGGCTGAGGATCAGACCCAGGGCCTCACGCATGCCAGGCAAGTGCTCYACCACCGAGCCCCTAGCCCAGCCCCCCAAAGCACAGCTTTCACAATGCCAGAGTGTCCATGTCTGCTGTCCACTTGGGTGGCCCCTCTGGCTCTGTTCCCATTGACTGCCCCTCACTTGGGGTCCTATTTTCTGGCTTTGTTTCTTCACAGCTGCAGTTTGGCAGCCAGTGGCCTGTCCTCGTCACACGGTGGACCCTTTGCCTCTCAGCATTGCTCTGGGAGCACTGAGCCTCGGGGGAGCGGTCTGCTTCTCTCAAGGCCTGTTTGCCTACGTCGGGCCACACCACAGCTCCTCAGCCTGGTGCTGGTTTTTCTCCTGGACGGAGGTGGAACCCTCCTGATGCTGAGAGCTGTCCTCTCTGCTGGGGTGGGGTGGCCTGGCACCTGGCAGTGTAAGTGTGGACGTCCCCTCCGTGGCCAGTGCTTCTTCAGCAGCTTCCCGGGCTTCCCTCCCAACACCCTGCCTGGTGCCTGCCCGATACTGGAGTCCACGCTGCAGACTTCTGGATTCTCCTGCTTTCTGAGCTCTGTCCTGTGACTTCAGCCCTTTTGCCTCTCTGGCTCCAGCTGTTTCCCCGGCCATGGGGAAGACCAGGGGCTCCCTGGACCTCCCTGCCTGCCCAGGGCACAGGCAGATCTTGTGTGGGATAGCAAGCCCGGGCTCGGCCACTCAGCGAGTTACTGGGTTTCCTTTAAGGCTGCTGAGGGTGTGTGAGAGCTCCCGCAGCCCTGGGGACACTGCTGGACTCGGTGCCCATTGCTGGAACCCTTCTCCTGTGCCGCCCAGGCCCAGCCTCACACTGGACCAGACCCACTCTGTAGCCACGTCCACTGAGCCAGCTGGGGGCTCTGCCAGGTGCTCCACRCAGGGACTAGTGTGAAACCCTGGGAAGAGGCCCTGCCAACTCCAGGTCCAGGTCACCAGGACAGACACAGGCCTCTGACTCAGCAAGGGGCTGAGCCGACCTGGGCCACAGGCTGCTGAGGCAGGAGGCTGTGCCCGCGTCCCACGCTGGGCACGAGTTCGCTGCCTGTCCCTGCCCCAGCAGTGACACAGAGTGTCCACCGCCTGCGGGGCCCTGTGCTGTGGGCAAGTTCTCCTGCSTGTCCTGCACAGCTCTGGGACAGGGGTCCTGGGGCAGGGGCTGTTCACTGGTTGCGGGTGCCCTTAGGCCTGCGGTTGGCAAGGACTGCCTGCCCCTCATGGCCACCAGAGCCGGATGCCATGTTAGGATAGATCTCTGCATGGTACCTGGGCCACTCTGACGGCAGACCCGTGTCTAGCAATTCACCTCATAAATATCCTGGCGTGTCAGTCGAATGATGAATATTCAAGGTGACTAGTTCTTTGCTACTGTTAAAAAAAGAACACGGAAGCTTTTTGAGTGTTGATTTGGAACCATCTCCAAGATTCGAGAAGTGAGAACAAGGTTCACAGCAGTGAGTGCTGCCCGCGCCTGCGCAGAGGGGAGAGTCTCTGCCCAGCACGCACCCTGCACCAGGGCTGTGACTGGGCTCGGGGGGACTGGGAGCTGCAGACTGGAACCTGCTGCCTGTCGGGGAGAGGGAGGGCGGGAGGAGAATTCTTAATTGCATGAACTTCTGTGGGTTTTGACATGTAGATTAGGCAGATGAAGCCTACTGTCTGTCCTGGAAATCAGATGTGAAAACCCGGCAGGGCGGGTCTCGAGAAAGCTGTTGCAGGTTGGGTCTTCAGACGCTGCCTGCTCGTGATTTTTTAATATATAATTCTTTATGCCTTTATTTATTTATTTATTTTTATGTGGTGCTGAGGTTCGAACCCAGGGCCTTGCATGTGCTGGGTGAGTGCTGTGCCACTGAGCCCCAGCCCCAGCCCACTGCTGCTGATTTTAATTCAACTCTCCAGTCCTCTTTTGGAGCAGCCAACTCTTAATGAGCTCAGTCAGATGGACGAACATGCAGGCACGGGGAGCACAGGAACATGGAGCACTGAACATGGAGCATGGGAACATGGAGCACGGGCACGGGGAGCATGGAAACATGGAGCACAGGCACGGGGAGCACGGGAACATGGAGCATGGGAACATGGAGCACGGGAACATGGAGCACTGGTACGGGGAGCACGGGAACATGGAGCACGGGAACATGGAGCACGGACACGCAGGAGCACGGGAACATGGAGCACGGGCACGGGGAGCACGGGAACAT